TTAATATGACAAAGAAAATGGGGGGATAGAAGTGTATCAATTCAAAAAAAAAAAAGAGCTTCGGCTCGGAAAAACCCGATCCCAAGTGGGCACGGGAAAATAAAAAAGCCTCGGCTCGGAAAAATCCGACCCCAAGTGGGCACGGGAAAATCCAGAGAGCTTCAGCTCGGAAAAACCTGACCCCAAGTGGGCACGGGAAAATAAAAAGGCCTTGGCTTGGAAAAATCCGACCCCAAGTGGGCACGAGAAAATCCAGAGAGCTTCGGCTCGGAAAAACCCGACCCCAAGTGGGCACGGGAAAATAAAAAAGCCTCGGCTTGGAAAAAACTGACCCCAAGTGGGGGCACAGGAAAATCCAAAAAGAGCTTCGGCTCGGAAAAACCCGACCCCAAGTGGGCACGGGAAAATAAAAAAGCCTCGGCTTGGAAAAGTCCGACCCCAAGTGGGCACGGGAAAATCTAGAGAGCTTCGGCTCAGAAAAACCCGACCCCAAGTGGGCACGAAAAAATAAAAGAGCTTCGGCTCGGAAAAACTCGACTCTAAGTGGGCACGGGAAAATGAAAAAAGAGCTTCGGCTCAAAAAACTCGACCCCAAGTGGGCATGGGAAAATAGAAAAAATAAGGGAACAACCCAACCCCAGGTGGGCACGGGAAAATCCAAAGAGGAAGAAACCTTGGCGTGAGAAAATCTAAGCCTAAGTTGGGCTTGGGAAAATCGCAAAGTCGAGGAAATATTACCACGAAAAAAGTCAACCCTAAATGGGCACGGGAAAATCCTAAGCCAGGGGAGAAACTTGGTTAAAGGAAAAACCAGACCCCAAGTGGCACGTGATAACTCTAAACCAAAGAAAATATATATATATATATATATATATTAGCTAGTCTACATTGATAAAACGTAGCAATTGCAAAGAAAAATTAAAAAAATATATTTTTATGTTACAGGAAAGATAACAAAAGAATAGGTTTCAATAAAAGGAAAAGTGCTAGCCAACCGGCCCAAGTACACAAGAGCAAGCATGAAAAATGGAGTACAGAGCAAAAAAAAAAAAAAAAAAAAAGAAAGCTTTTAGGTGCTACTTGGGGGATCGATACTTGGAGGATCGCTGCTTGGGGATTTTTCCAAATCCTTCATAGGTTCAATCATCTCATCATCAGGGTTGAAGTCATTCGGTGTACGTGCCGAAGGAGTCTAAACAATATGAGGAGGGTCAAATGAGAGATTAAGGTCAAGGTCTTTGTTATAGAAAATGATTGCCTTCTTGGCTTCTTCGTAGCCTTTCCAGAACTCGTCCTCAACAAGCTCGACTTTATCAGCCTCGTACTTGGCATAGCAAAGCTCCAAATATTTCTTCACTCGCTCGAGTTCCCTTAGAGACATATCAAGAGCAGCTTTAGTCTCCACAAGAGTCTTCCTATCATTTTCAGAGGAGGTCAAAAGAGCATTGTTTTTAGCTTTCCAACCATCTGAGATGCTCACCGTCTGCGCAACTAATTTCTCAGATTGAAGCAATTTCTCTTGTGTCGCCTTTAAACTGTCCTGAGATTCCTTAAATTTTGGTGAAATTATTTTTGCCTCTTCAAACATTTCTTTTGTTCGAGAGTTGTACACAAGAAGATCTGCGAAGAGCTAAAAAAAAACAGGGGTTAAACAAATTAGCTTAGGAAAGTCTAAACACAATTTGGGCTCGGAAAATCCCGACATTAATAAAGAAGGAGAGAGATAAAGCTAAGCCCAATTTGGGTTCAGAAAATTTCAATGAAGAAAAGGAAGGGGTTTACCTCAGTAATCCGGCGCTCGATTGAATTAGCTAAGTTGATGGCTTCTCATTTTTTAGCTCCGTCAATATGTTCGCGAGGCACAAATTTCTCCATCTTTTTCAACATTGGAACATGACAAGGGTGGATGGACAAGCGGACCAACCCATCAGTTACAACATCAAGAGTGGAAGTATCTTTGGAGGTTTGGTCAGGTTCATGACTCGAAGACCTTTTTGCTGGTCTTGAAAGAGGAAGTGGATCATTTGGTGCAAGAGAGCCAATATTTAATGCAGTTGATAGAGAAGGGCCAGTAGGTGGAACGTCAAAGGAGGACTTTCGCTTCTTCATCCATTCCTTGAAAATCTCAGGGTCGAAGGTTGATTGACTGGGGGGCCTCGTGGGCCTAGACGCCAAGCAGGATTCCAAGTCCTTGGGAAAATGTCTAGACACATGGTGCTCACGTGAGCGGGAGCCGTCACCACGATGCTCAGAATGAGGTCCGAAATCACGCTTGCTAGCCATACCTGTTGATAAAAAAAAGGCAACATAATAAGTGGATCCATTTACATTGCGCCATCTTTGAAAAAAAGTGTACGAAATTTCTCATGCAGAGAGAAGATGAAAGCAAAACGTTTTGGAAGCAAAAGAAAGTCAGCATTAATTGCAGAGGTGCCAAGTTTTGTTTTTCATATATATTGAAATTCAGCAAAGCTACCTTTAGTTTTTTCTTTCCATTAGCGTTGGAAGCAATTAAAGTAAATGGGGAATGCAAATCTAAGCACGTTGTGGAAACTAGCTGATTTCACTTTTGCTTTAGAGAAGTAGAGGAAGCTTTTCAAAAAAAAGAAAGAGGAAAATTTCCAGGCAAGTTTTAGTCCCCTTCGCTTGGCGTGCGACACTCGTGGACTGGGGGGCTGATGTTGGGCAGCATTTCCGGAATCATTAAATGTGCAATAAATTCAAAGGCTTGTCGGAGCCCAAGCTTTCCTGAGCCCAAGTGCCCAAGCTTTCCTAAGCTCAAGTTCTCTGGAGCCCAAATTTGCCAGAGCCCAAGCTCTCCCAAGCCCAAGTTCTCCGGAGCCCAAATTTTCCGGAGCCCAAGCTCTCCCGAGCCCAAGTTCGCCGGAGCCTAAATTTGCCGGAGCCCAAGCTCTCCTGAGCCCAAGTTCTCCGGAGCCCAAATTTACCAGAGCCCAAGCTCTCCCGAGCCCAAGTTCTCCAGAGCCCAAATTTGCCGGAGCCTAAGCTCTCCCGAGCCCAAGCTCGCCGGAGCCGAAAGTTCAAAGGTCGCGTGATGTTATCAAGTGAAGTAACTGACGCTAATTAAAGACATTGAATGGTTGAAAGTTAATTCTCATTGATTATTTATCAGTTTTAACTCACAAAAAAGGTGAAGAGCCTCTTTGTAATTAAGAGAATAAACTCTCGAATTAATGGGAGAATTAAACTCCCTCAATCCTAATGTACTATAAATTCTCTCAATTTGAGAGGGAAAGGGACACTCATTTCTGAATACAATTGCCTTGTGATTGTCTTCATTTAGTTTTTATTATTTCTTTCACAGGTTCTTTGTGTTCTTCGAGTGTTCTTCCAATTTCTTTAGATAATTTACTTATTCAATCCAAACTATTTGTCTAGGGACGTTGGATAAGTGTTGGACGAAATTTTGCTCCAACAGTTAGTACCAAGTTTGTCTGATTATGGCATGCTTTATGTACTTTGAAAGTTACATCCCTTCTTCTTTAAGACCATTCACAAACCTTGTCTAAGGATACATGCAATTCTTGCATACTCCATTTATCCATCCTTTTTGAATTTTGGTCAAAATTTTTTTTGTCCTTCCATTGAATCTTAACCACCCATTCATTCCCTAATTAATCTCCACTATTGATCTTGTTAAATCATATCCTACACCTCTCATCAAAATCATCTTTAATATCAATCGTTGATCTTGCTATCTCTACATCAACCATTGATCAATGTAAGATTTGATCCATACCATTGATCAAACCTAGATTCATTCTACCCCCTCGATCAACTTTAAACCTAATTTAGACCCTTCATTCAAAACTTCATCTGTAATGGTCTATTACTCTAAATATCTTCCTAATAATTTCTACTAACTAAATTGACTTAAGCCAATTTCAAATAAATTTCTAATTAAAGCAAATATTGAATATAATTTCAATGTCAATACAAATGTCATACACTTATTTAAAATAAAAAAGGCTCTAAACTGAGTGGTACAATCACTTTTTTTTCATTTTTCAATTATTTTTTCACGTCAGCGGGTTCGATCCCGTGTTATTTTGAAGTTTACTGTTCAATAAATTATGAATTTGTATAATATTATGGTTAATTTTTGGTTTAGTTGGTATTTCTAATTTAAAATATATGCATATTATAATTCAAAAGTTAAAATTTTGTGGCGTAATTGAATTTTTTCTAAAAACTTATGCATAAATGTTGTCAATTAAAAATTTCAATAAGAGTAAAATAAGAAGAAAATTACAACAAAAGTGATTTTTGAGGTCATAATATAAACGTGCCAATTGGGCCAAGCTGCCGCCACTAGGCCCAATATTGGGCTCCGCCAGTCAGTTCAATTGTAATTGCTCGTTATCTTAACAACTATATGTAAGCCTATTTTTGTTTTTTTTAAATGCTAAAATTTTCACTAAGAAATTTTCACTAATTTACGTGGTAGATTCTTCTACTTACGTGTGGAATTAGGCTTCTTTAGTTTCCAAAAGAGAACTATTTTTTCTTTTACTTTTTTGCTAAAGACAAAAATAGAAAACACTTTCAAATTCTTCTTCTACCTTCTACGAAAATGCAAATAAGTAGTTTGTTTTCTTCTTTAGATATAGAAACTGTTTCTGAGTCTCTTGTATCTGTAATTCTCCGTGGAAAATTTTCCCTTAAACAATCATTGAAATTCTTCCAGCCAAAAAAAAACAAAAAAAAAAAAAACAAAATGGTTGAACTAATCGGAGGAGCTGGGTTAGTTCTCCTTTTTTGTTTGTTTGATAGAACACTTAATTCTAAAACCTGAAATGTAGGGATAATATTAATAATTGGGTACCGATTTAGTTCTTGTAACATTTAATTCTTGTAAGCCTTATCCATATTACTTATTAGCTCTATCTTGTGATATTAATAATTGGGTACCAATTTAGTTCTTGTAACACATTGCCAAGCTCCTCTCTGAGCTAAAAATAACATTGTTGTCTGCTAATATGCTGTTCAATGATGCCGAAGAAAAACAGCTCAAAGATCAAAATGTGAAGAAGTGGGTTGATGAGCTCAAAGAAGTTATTTACGAGGCAGACCACTTGATGGACAAAGTGAATTATGAAGCTTTGAGAGGCAAGATTGAAGGAGACGAATCTGGAAGCAAAGTAATTAAGTTTCTTAACTCCATCCCAACAATGTTTGGTGCATTTGAGAGAATGCGTTCATAGGTTAAAGCTTCTTTTGGATAAAAAAGATGTGCTTGGTTTGAGAGAATGCGTTCGAAATAGACCCCCGCAAAGATTGCTTGCTCCTTTGTTGGAGGAATGTGATGTTTATGGAAGAGAGGTTGATAAAGAAGCTATTGTTAAGTTATTGTTGTCGGATGATGCAAGTGGGTGTAGGATATCTGTGATTCCAATTGTGGGAATGGGCGGTGTTGGCAAAACTACTCTCGCTCAGCTTGTTTATAGAGATAGCAGGGTCCAAGAACATTTTGATTTGATAGCCTGGGTGACTGTGTCAGATGACTATGATGTTTTGAGAATAACAAGAATAATTTTGGAGATGATCACGTCTACAAAATGTGATGTGGAGGATCTATATCAGCTTCAAGATGAACTGAAGAAGGCTCTAATGGGGAAAAGATTTCTTTTTGTTCATGATGATGATGTTTGGAATGAAAATTACAATCTTTGGGATCTCTTAAAAAGCCCTTTTCAATTTGGAAAGCGCGCAAGTAAAATAATTATGACAACGAGAAGTAAAATTGCTGCATCAAAGATGGCAAATCATCAAACTTACGACTTACAAACAATACCATATGGTGATTGCTTGCGGTTATTTGCAAAACATGTCTTTGACGACTTAGAGTTTGACATACATTCGGAGTTGAATGAAATTGGGACTGCAATAGTTCTAAAGGTAGTTTTCGGGATGTCTTCCTCCTTAATCTTCAGTTGATAGTACCCAGACCTCAAATCAATTTTAGAGTAATACTGTGGTCTACACAACTGATCAAATAATTCATCGATCCTCGATAGTGGGTATTTATTCTTCACAGTTACCCTATTCAATTGACGATAGTCAATGCACAACTGGAAAGATCCGTCGTGCTTCTTCACAAACAACACCGGTGCACCCCACGGGAAAGTATTATTCCTTATATACCCCTTTTCCGCTAGCTCCTCGAGCTGCTTTCTTAATTCTCTCATTTTAGCAGGTGTCATCCATTATGGAGGAATATAGATAGGTGCTGTTCCCAGGGCCAAATCGATGCAGAATTCAATTTCCTGATCTGACGGTAAACCGGGTAGCTCATCAGGAAATACATCTACGAATTTATCCATCACAGAAATTCCTGCACTATCTCCAATCACCTCGGGTTCACCTTCTAGAGCAAGAAGGAAAGAGAAACAAGCGAAGTTCCTTCGTCCCCCGACACTGTACCTCAACAGTCGTTCTTCCAGGACTGGGTTCATGTCCGCTTGATAAGTGATCATCACTCCGGAATCAGTCATCAAAGTCACTCTTCTACAGTAGCAATCAACAATTGCACCATATTTTGACAACCAATCCATTATGAGTACCACATCAAACAAACTCATCGGAAGGATAATCAAGTCAGCTCTCAATCGCTCACCCCTAATCGTGATTTCAGATGATCTACACACACTCAACACCTCCACACATCCCAGTGGGGAGTTCAACGTCATCGGGACTTCTAAGTTCTCAGATTTTAATTTTAACATACGTACAAAAGAACTTGATATAAAAGAGTGTGTAACACTAGTGTCAAACAACACATGTGCAAAAGAGTGAGAGATCAGAATCATACCCTCAACCACCGTGTTGCTGGCCTGTCCTCCAGAACTACCTCCGGTCAGGGTATACGCTTGTCCTTGCGTTTTTCCCTTTCCTTTATCACTAATATTGGGCCGTTGTGTCCCTGGCCTATATTGTTGTGGCGGAGGTATCTACACTGGTCTTGGCGCCTGAGGCTGAAACTATGAATATTGAGGCAGACGGTAGGTTGGCACATGAGGGTATGACATCGGCGTTGGTAGCTGTGGCTGATAAGGCGGCACAAACTGCGGCGGTCTTCCTTGACTGTAAGAAGCCTCACTCTGAGATTGTTGAGCCGGCGGTTGATTCTGATTTGGACAGTTCCTTCTAATGTAGCCAACTTGTCCACAATAATGACACTTGAGGCTGTAGGGGCCACTCCTATCACTTCTAGAGGAACTACTGCCACCACTGATCATTTTTTCGCTAATCTGTCCCTGATTGCAGTTTCTTCTACCACTCTGTTGTGGCCCACCAGAAATAGAAACTCGACCAGCTGCTTCCTTGCTTTGCTGATAAGCCAGATTGTCTTGTTCCACGCTTGTAGCAGCAGCCACCAAATCCCAGAAATTTTAAATTCTTAGAGCCACCAAGGGTCTCCTGATAGAATTCTTGAGGCCCTTATCAAATTTAAGACATCTGAGGTGTTTAGACTCCACCAAAGATGGCGTAAAACGGGATAAGTCATTAAATTTGGCCTCATACTTCCTCACGGACATGTCACCTTGAAGCAAGGACATAAACTTCATTGCCTTCTCATCCCTATAGCTATGAGCGAAGTATTGTTCATTAAAGAGAACCTCAAACTGTTCCCAATTCATTTCCGCAACATTAAGTTTTCTTCTTACTTACTTCCACCAAGTACTCGCTTGGCCTTCCATTTTGTACACTGTGAATTCCACCCATTATTCATCAGGCACTCACATAGTATTCAAGTGCTTTACTATGGAATCAAACCAGAATTTCGCCTCCTGGGTGTCCTCCCTCACTATTGAACGTGCGGATTGGTGCACGTCTAAATTCTCAAAAATAACCCTGCTTCCTATCCTCGGCCAGTCGCTCATTCTGAGCTCGAGTGGCCATTCCTTAGAAAGCAGCATACATGGCATCCATGAACTCCTGGTTTTGTGGTGCCGGGTTGTTAACCGACCTACGACGCGGCGGCATCTCCTTTAACTGAAAAGAAACTAGACTGTTCAGTGGATTCCTGATGTCACACATGTATGTATAATCTTGTGGTTTCTTAACCTAGGGCTCTCATACCACTCTGTCACGCCCCGAAGCAGGGGTCGGTGACATGGAGCTCGATTAGGGGTTAATTGCATGATAATAAAGGAAATTCCTAACGAGCCCCACACTCAATTAAAATAAATTACATGACTTATCCATAGGATCTCATTACCGAACATACATGACGAGTAAAAAAAATATTACACACATCATCCACAGTCTATAAATCTAAATATTAGAGTTTACAAATTCTTACATTTATCCAAGAGGATGAACACAATCCTCTCCAGCCCAAGATGGTAGCAATCTAACTCAGTTACTCCGCACCGCTTCTAGAATTTCTTAGGAGGGGTTTAATATATATATAAAATAATAAAACATGAGCGAAAGGCCCAGTAGGATATAATTTGAAATAACTTTATTAATAAATGAATAAATAAATAAGTGAGTAGACATTCAGTTCCAACACAACAACCGGAACCTCACATCCTTTTTCTCAAAGGAAAATATAACTGAAAATCACCGTATTACAAGCATCAGCAAGTAATTTATACTGAGATAAATTACTTACACATCCACGTGCACAAGCCACCCAAGGATGCACTCTCCACATCTTATCTTGGCCATTAGCCAGTTTACCGGTTCGCAAGATCTCTTATCTTAAGAAATCATTCATTAAACTTTCTGAATCGTTTATTATAATTCCCACGAACTACAACAAGCCATAGGTCCCATGAACTACAACAAGCCATGGGTTTCATGAACTACAACAAGCCATGGTTTTCAAATATTTTTCTTTCGCAAACAAGCCCCTTTCTTTAAAACATTTGTGAGGCCAAAACTCTTTTAAAATCAGGCTCACAAGGAAAAAGGGGAAGAAATCCTACCTCACAAATATCAAACCTGTGGCTAGCGTTACTCTATTCCGGCTTTCGCTTCCTCAAAGCCTCTCATTCCGAGTCCTCAGCTAGCACTAATGCAAAACAACACTTTAGGATCCCAATCTCATTCCTAAAGTAATTCAAACTCAATTACATCCTTTTGATTTCCTATTAGTGTGCATTGACTCAAATCCAAGTTTCACAACCGATTTTTATAATCAGTTTGGGGGTTCTTTAAAGATCGAAATCAAGTTCATGGAATTGGTTTCCTATTTAATTTTAGTTTAAAATAAACTTTTTAAAGAAATTTTGACAGCATGCCGACGTAAATAGGAAAAATGCCAAACCTGCAATTCAAGTTCAATTTCAAAATAAATTCTCCAGAATCCATCAAAACCAGTTTCCAATCAACTAAACAAGCCCAATAACTGAAAACCTCCAAATTTCAATTAATTCTAACAACAATTGTTCAAATCCAAATCCTAACTCAAAATTATTCAAATCTAACCAAAATTTCAAATTCTCAAACTAATAACTCAAATTCAAGTATGGGTTTTCAAGAAATCCTTATCTCAAAGGGATTGAAAACTGTTTCTCTCCGTTTCTCTCATTTTCGTTCATTTTTTTTTTTTTTGCTTCGGCCAAGATCAGCCGAGAGAGAGAGAGAGAGAGAGAGAGAGAGAGAGAGAGAGAGAGAGAGAGGGAGAGAGAGAGAGAGAGAGAGAGAGAGAGAGAGAGATCCCGGAGGAGGTTGACCGGCGTTGAAGAAGAAAGGAGAGAGAGGGCGGCGGTGGGAGAAACCAGAGGAGAGAGAGAGGAAAGGAAAAGAAAGAAAGAGAGAGAGAGAGAGAGGTCTGTGGGCAGCCACGGGAAGAAAGGAAGAAAAAGGAAAAAAAAGAAAAGAAGAAAAAAGAAAAAGGAAAAAGAAAAGAAAAGAAAAAAATAAGTGTCCAAATATTTAAAATACAGTCCAGAGAATGTGTCTACACACACTTCTAGGAAAAAATATAATTACTGAAAATATTTAAATTCCTTGGAAATATTTAAATTTACAATTCAGAAACATTTAAAAATCAATAATTGATTAATTAAACCGGATTAGGCACACTAATAAATCTTAATTACCTTAATTAATCTCATTTAATTTTTCGGGGTATTACAATATTGCAAAGTGATATATGGGAGTTTCAATTTCAATATAATCATGACAACATTCTTCCAGCTTTGTGGTTGAGCTACCATATTTTACCTCTACATCTGAAGCGGTGTTTTGGTTACTTCTCAATATTTCCAAAAGGTTATGAATTCCATGAAAGTGAAAAAGAGAAAGTGATCTTGTTGTGGATGGTTGAAGGCATTTTGCAACCCGAAAATGGAAAAAGAATGGAAGATGTTGGAGAAGAGTACTTGAATGCTTTAACATCAAGGTCATTCTTCCAGAGATCTAGTTGGAATGAATATAGCTTTTTCATGCATGATCTAATGCGTGATTTAGCTATGCATGTATCAGGTGAATTTTGCTTTATATCAGATAACTATAATGGTTTGCAAAACCTTATGAGAAAAACCATCCATTTATCTTATAGAAAAGAATCTAAAGACTTGATTGAATTAGTAGGGTTGTCGAAAACCATTTGTTTGCGCTCTTTGTTAGCTTTACAATTCATATGAATATATTGAGTCAACAATACAGCAAAATGTCCTCGGTGAAGTATTGCTAAGAGGAGAATGCTTAAGAGTACTCTCTTTATCTCAATCATCCATCACCGAGTTACCTAGCTCCATTGGCAATTTAAATCATTGAGGTACTTGGATTTATCTTGGACAAAGTCAAAGAAGTACCTAGTTCAATTTCCATGTTGCACAATTTGCAGACACTATTGTTGTCGGGTTGTAAAGAACTTACACAGTTGCGAATCGACATGTCTTGCTTAATCAGCTTGCGGCATTTTGACATAAGTGGGACATGTTTAAAAGAGATGCCACTCCAACTTTCCAGTATCAAAGATCTACAAAGTTTGAGTGATTTTGTTGTGGGTGAAAATAATGGCTCTAGCATCAAGGCGTTGGGAGCATTGCAGCTTTTACATGGAAGTCTTTGCATTTCAGGCCTTGAAAATGTTGTGGACATCGGGGATGTTTACAAAGCAAATATGAAGAGCAAGAAACATCTTACCAAACTAATTTTGAGATGGGATGGTGAAACTGATGATTCATTGAAGGAAAGGGAAATACTGAATGCACTCCAACCGCACACAAACTTGAAGGAACTCGATGTCATTGGTTACAGAGGAACAAGATTTGCAGACTGGGTAGGGCATCCTTGTATTCTAACTTGGCGAAAGTATCCCTATTCAGATGTGAAAATTGTTGTCTATTGCCACAAGTTGGACAGCTACCTTCCCTCATAGAGCTTGAAGTTGTGGAATTGAATGAATTGGTTAGCATCGGTGATGAGTTTTGTGGTACTTCCTCGATCCCTTCGTTTCAATCCTTGGAAAAGTTGTCATTCTCTGGGATGTTCAGGTGGGAGAATTGGTCAATTACTAGAACTGATCAAAAAGAGCCGGCTTTCCCTTGTCTCAAAGAGATTGATTTGCAATGTTGTTGGAAGCTAAAGGTGGGATTACCTGATGCTTGCCTCCATTCCTTGAAAAAAATTGCATTTTGGTTTTGTAATGAAATGCAGGCTGTGTTTCCAATAAGTCAACACATTGACAGTGCATATCCCTCTCTTGAGTCCTTGTTCATATCTTGTTGTTCAAGAGTCGAGACATTTTCAAGAATGGGATTGCCCTCAAACTTAAAACAACTTCAGATTCAAGATTGCAAAATGCTCTTTGCAAACCGCATCAATTGGGATCTACAAAGACTCTCCTCACTTCTAAGCTTACAACTCACAAGATGTGAAGAAGTGGTGGATTCTTTCCCAGAGAAAGGGCTGCTTCCGACCGCATTGACTTCTCTCGAAATCAATAACTTTCCAAACCTTAAAGGCCTGAACGGAAAAGGCTTTCTGCATCTCACATCCCTTCAGCAACTGGCTATCTGTAGCTGCAAAGAATTGAAATGCTTGCCAAACGAAGGCCTGCCACGCGGTCTTTCATATCTGGATATTAGTAAATGTGTTCTTCTAAGTCACCGGTGCCAGAGAGGTGCAGGCGAAGATTGGCCCAAGATTTCCCACATCCCTCGAATATTCGTCGACTGGAAAAGAGTGTGATAAGGTATTATGCATTGTTGTGTACTTCTAACAAAATTTTCTCTTCTTTTTTTTTTTCCCCTCTCTACTCCCTACTACACTTGATTTTGACTTTGTTGATTTCCATTTTGTCTATGTCAATCTGTTGGTTAGTTTGTTATTTTTTCTTCTTCAATTGTTGACTCTTGACATTTTGTTAATGTTTTGGCATGCAGAACCAGTGAAGATGGCAGGGCGTTTGCAATGGGAAATGAGAAGCAGGGTTGAAGATGTATTGTATGTTTCCGCTTCTTTGTTTTGTGAGCGTGCTTTCGTGCGCTTAGGTGGGAAAAGTTATTCTATTGTAATCGTCCTCTGTTTTAAACTTGTTAGATTGTTACATTTTCTTTGTTGGAGTATGGAGAGTGTTAAATCCTCTTTTCAAGGCCTTTCAAGGCTTTACATATGGAAAAATAATAATAAGGAACCATTTTTTCCTCGTCAATGAGGAACGATCCGTCTGTTTAAATTTGTTGGATTGACAGTGGGTCCCCTATTTGATTATTATGGGTTGGTGTGCGACAAGGTTTGAGAAGAGATTGAGGGTTCGATCTCGTATTTTATTTATAAAAAAAAAAAAAAAAAAAAAACTCTAAAATTAAAAGGCGGGCATCTTTTTTTAGTATTGCTTGCATCCATCTTAAATAAGGAAATATTTCATGTCCAAAAAAATTAATAAGGGAATATTTATGGTGCGACACTCTATTTTACTCCACTTATTGAGCAGGTTTTCAAAACGTGTTTGATTGAGATCACGGTTAAGAAAACCTTTAGGGCTTATTTTTTTACATGACTTGAGTTTTGATTTGAGTTGTGTATGTGAGAGAACAACACTATAATAAAAAAGTTAAATTTAAATTTTTATAAGAGAAGACACTGTAGCAATATGACTTGAGTTATTAAATGAACATATCCTTAATATTTATACTATGTTTGGTAGGATGGGTAGAAAAGAGTAAGGAAAGAGAAGTAAAATACCTAGGTAAATGAGGTAAAATGGTTTCCTCTCATGTTGTTTGGTAGAAGAGAAATAAAAGTGAAAAGAAAATGTCAAATTTAAAGTATTTTACAATAATACTCCAATACAAATAAAAATATGATGAATGATGAAAGTTAAAATTATTATTTTACATCTTATTTTTTTGTTAAATTTTTTCCATACTCTTTTCTTCCTAAGTTAGAAGAATTAAAAATTAGTGGGCCCATGAATTTTTATTTTCCTTCTTTTCTCATTTCATCTCTATCAAACAGCTTAAAATTTAATTTTCCTCTATAAAATCCTTACTCTATTTTCTTTTCTCTCTCTTTTCCACCCTACCAAACACACTGTTAGTGTTGCTCTTTTAATTGTGGGTCCTTTGGATAAATAGACTAAGTAAAAAGTGATTTTAAGTAAATATACTCAAAAAAAAAATTTGAGTAAATAGACCAACATCCACATCATCCATTCCACGTCAGCAAGTATGTTTTTAGGAGTTTCTTTCTCTTCCTCCTCTTCCATTTCACGTCATTTTCTTCTCTCAGCCACCATTCCATTTCTTCTCTCCTCTTCTCAAGTCCTCGTCGTCGTACAACCTCACTAACATTTTTATCTTGCCCATTCAGTGCTTTTTTCTCGTCCAAAACGAAGTTTGAAGAAGAGCTACTAAGGTCTCGTTCATTTCACCGATTCGAGTTTTTAGTTTTAGGTTTCTACAGTAAAAAGCTCTCAGAAAATGTCGCATCTAACTTTTTCTGCTACAGTAAAAAACTCTCAGAAAATGTCACATCTCAGCTCGAATTGAAAACTCAAATCCGCGAAGTGAACGAGGCCTAAGTAAGTCTTTCTTTTTCTATATCTCTCATGGTGTTTTATGTTGTTTTTCATATGTTTTTAAGATGAGAATGTAGTTAAAAATGTTTAAAAACCATTAAAATTGTAATTTTAGATGGAAAAAGATGGGTTTACATTGTCTAATATGAAGAAGATATGCTGGGTTTAGAAAAAAAAAGGGTATGAATCTCAACAGAAAATCTGCCGTGTGGTCGGTTCTTGGTCTGTTCTTGGTATATGTCTGTTTGTGGTCTGTTCTTGGTCTATTCGTGGTCTGTTCTTGGTCTGTTCATATTATATGGTCTGTTCTTGGCCTGTTCGTGGTCTGTTCATGTTCTACTGGTCTGTTCTTAGTCTGTTCATGGTCTGTTCTCATTATAATGGTCTGTTCGTAGTATGTTTGGTTTGGTTTGATGACATATTATTATCTTGATTAAATTTTTACAGTTTTAAATCTAAATAATGGCTTAGTGGAGGATTTTTTCTTACATTGGAGGAAAATGAGACGAGAATGAAAGTTGTTGGGTGTGGCATACAGACTGTAATTTGATTGGCAAATATATGGATGAGAAGGATACTCTCGAAACCTTTGTTGATAAGATTTGCAGAAAATGTGGAATTGATGGATAAAAACATTCCTTCGAGTTATCGTGGGTACCGAATTTAAATCAGAAATCGTTGCCCGTTGTAATAAAAGATAATGATGATTTATTATTTTTCAGGGATATATCTCACGAGGTACCGCTACACATGATAGTGGATGAAAAGTTTGTGAATGCAGAAGAAATTAGGAGAAATCCTTGGCATGACGATTTTTTTATCGTGATTTTATGAGTATTGTAAGTACAGATGAGTTTTTGACTTGTAATAATATTCCACCACAGTCGCAACTACAACTAGAGTCACAGCCACAACTAGAGCCACGACCACTTGCCATTTTAAATGAAGTAGAAGTTACTGGTCCTTTAGTTTGTATCGACCAGACTGAGTTTGGATAATCTCATGGATCTACCTTCAGTAACGGATCTAGTTTAGAAGTTGGTCAATACTTTACAAGTAAGAATGATTTGAAGGAAACGCTGCATTTAATAGCTTTAAAGGGGATATTTGAGTTTCGAACAACAAAATCAAATAAAGACGTGCTTGTAGTAGAGTGTGTGGATCCGAAGTGTGTGTGGCGTATTCGGGCCTGCAAACTGAGATTATCAGACATGTTTGTAATCTGCAAGTATAATGGTGTTCACTCTTGCTCGTTAGAAAAGCGTTCAGTGAAGCACATGCAAGCAACGTACTCCGTTATTGGGAGTTGCATGAAAAACCAATTTATAGGCGTCAAACAGGGTCCGGTTCCCAAATCAATTCAAAAATATGCCCGTGATGAATTTGTGACGGACTTCAGTTATTACAAAGGATGGAAGGCTCGTGAGCATGCACTTAAACTTGTAAGAGGTATGGCCAAAGAAACCTTCATGAAGCTCCCATCATCCTTTCATATAGTGTCTCTTACTAATCACGACAGTATCACCAACATTTATTTTGATGACCATAACCATTATATATATTTTTTCCTAGCATATGGACCTTGTATACGAAGTTTTGGTTGCATGAGGAAAATTATCAGTGTTGATGGAACGTAGTTGAAGGGAAATTCAGAGGTATATTGTTAGTTGCCACTGCACAGGATAGTGAACGTCATTGTTATCCCATTGCATGGGCCATTGTAGACTCAAAGAATGATGCATCCTGGACATAGTTCTTCTCGAACTTGAAGGAAATTATCAATGATTCCGAGGAACTAGTTTTTATTTCTAATAGGAATCTACATTAGCACATCACGGTTGTTGCACATGGTATGTGTCGCAAAACATCAAGAGTACTTTCAAATGTAGCGATGTTCAGCCATTGTTCTTTAAAATAGCTAAAGCCTACCACATTTACGAGTTTTATGTTTTGTTTGATGAGTTGTGTGCAAGATATCCCAGTATTGTCTGATACCTACAAGAGCAGGTTCGTTTTGAAATGTAGTCTCGTGCTCATTTTAAAGGAAATAGATATAATATTATGACTACAAACATGTCTGAGTTAGTTAATGCAATGCTTAAAGATGTTCGAGATTACCTTGTCATTGCCCTCTTGAATTTTATACAAGCGAAGATGTCAAAGTGGTTTAATAACAGGCGGGTCGAAGCTTCTAAAACTAAAATATTATTATCACCAAGTGTGGAAAAAACTCTTCGTGAAAGGCACAACAAAGCGGGATTTCTAATGGCCACAAGACTTAATACTGTTGAGTTCCAAGTGACAGGTGGAGAGACTATTGCAATTGTCAATATTGGAGCAAGGAGTTGCACTTGTCGTATGTTCGACCTTGAGCAGATACCATGCGAGCATGCAATATCATGTTGTAGAGAAGTAAGAATATCTCTCTATAATTTATGTTTAAAATACTATAGGACAGAAGTTTGGGCTCTTGCATATGCTGAGACAATCTATCCTGTGTCGGATACTTCGCAATGGGATATTCCGAATGATGTAAAGGAAGTTCACATTCTACCACCACGTGTTGTACCAAAAAAGGGTAGGCCAAAGCAAAAACGCATTCCCAACATAGGTGAGTTCACACGAAGGCAGAACCGATGTGTTAGGTGTGGACAATATGGACACTATCAGAACAAATGTAAAAATGCACCAAGTACTCATGAAAAAAAACAATATTGTTTTTGACAATTCAAATATTATTATTGGCGTTGCTATTTAAAAAAAAACGTTATATTCAACAGATTATTTTAGCTTTAGGGAAGCTTGTAATTATGGAGAAATGATACTGGTCGGTGCGAAAATAACACCTATTTTCTACTCACAATTGTACGAGGTCGACAAGTAATAAAGTAGTGAGTGAGTGTCGTGTCCCACGAGTATTGTGTTCCTAAAGTCTAGCTAAGTATCACAACTAGAATAACCCAGTTTTATCTAGACAAGTCTAATCATGAGAATAAGATCAATCAAAACAAAAATAAAATGCTAAACTAATTAGACGAGCAAATTAAACAATGGAAGAAACTTTTGGGATCGAAGGGGGCTCTAATGATAAGGCAGCTAGGGTCCTTGATTTCACCTTGCCCAATTATTCTAATCCTTTTTAAGGCTATTGATTTCTCTCAAGCCAAAC